TCCACAAGTAGCTCCTTCCCCTGAGGGGGGGGGGCCAGAGCTGAAGAGTTACCACTCTTTTTCAGGGAGTTAATACCATTGTAGTAACCAGTCTGGCCCAGAGGCTGTCTTGGCCTCCTAGACCAGAACTGCAGCCAGGGCCAGGAAGATGGAGGCAGCACAATTGCTACACGAGCCTTACAGTGTCTGGTGGTGTATGGTCCATGGGAGAAGTCTCTCTGCAGACAAGGAAAGTTGGGTTCACCTGCAGTTTTATGCCGGATCAGCCTGGATTCCAGAAAAACGATGGAAAACGAGTACATGCTTCTTCATCCCTTCCTGCAATTTGCCAATATGGTGTGCACCATATGTTCAAAGGAACAATGTGCTAATAAAAAGCCTCCTATGAGATTAGAATATCAAGGAAAACGGCACATTTGTGCTTATAAGTTAGGGTGGAAAGTTTACTACAGCTAGCTCCACTAACAGCCGTACTTCAGTCCCTTCAGCATAGTCCATGCTTCCTGCTTACAGGCCTGTTAGACCCGTGGGTTGCAGACTTGTGGATTGCCCATAGACCCCTCACCCCTCCAAAGGTGCCTGCTTTGGGGTGGGATATTTGTGTTAGGATACAGACAGACCCTTATGTTTAAAAATGGGAAAACGGGGCAGGGGGAAGGCTCCTGGATGGATTAGTCAGTTAAGCATCCAACGTTGGCTCAGGTCATGATCTTGCAGTTAATGAGTTCAAGCCCCACATCGGGCTCTGTGCTGACAGCTCAAAGCCTAGAGCCAGCTTCAGGTTCTGTGTCTCCCTTTCTCTCTGCCTCTCCCCTGCTCATGCGCTCGCTCTCTCTCTCTCTCTCTCTCTCTTTCTCTCTCAAAAATAAACATTAAAAAAATGGGAAAATTTAGGCACCAGGGTGACACAGTCTGTTGAGCATCCAACTCTTGATTTCAGCTCAGAACAGGGTTGTGGAATGCAGCCCCACATCAGGCTCCTTGCTGAGCATGGAGCCTGCTTGACATTCTCTCTCCCTCCCTCTCTCTCTGCCACCACCTGTCTCTCCCCTTCCCCACTCATGCTCTCCCTCTCTCTTAAAAAAAAAAAAGGAGAATGTTTCACAAGTTATCACTCATTCCAGTTAATAAATATCATTTATTATCAAAACAATAACATAATTTATTTAATGAAAACATTGTTTGTAACTACCAAATACCCACGTTTGAAGTAACTGTAACAGCTTATAAGTGAGACCGTCTTCAGCTGAGAATTGCCAAGGATTTCAGGAAAGAAACAGCCAGAGTTGGTTTCTGTGCATTTTCCTCTTCAGAACACAGACTACCTTAGTACTTGATCCTTCTGGTTTTAAATGTAATGACTCTGAACTGTTGAGTATTTTAAGCCACAGAGTAAGCTATTATTCTGTCTCCTGCCCTCCCCCAAACCCAGAATTCTTAACTTGGAAAATGTTGTTTTATGTTTTTTCTTAGTAACCTGAGACGTCTATGAGTTAGCACTGGGCTAAAAACACAGGGCACTTTGCCAGTGTTATTTCCACTTGTAACCATTTTGTATATTTCTGCTGCTTAAAAATGTTTAAGGCTGCTTCCCAATCCTAAATACATAATATGTTGAATTTAAAATTTGTATAGAAGTCATCAGCTATTGTCTTTAGGAGACTTTGTTTATCACATGCTAAGTATGGTTAATGTTCCGAATTCACCATAGGATTAAAGCCAAAAAGTAAGCTTTTGCATGACTCACTTTTAATTTCTTGTGTACTTCCTAAATGTATAGTCCTGGGAGTGTTGGAAAAGGCTCAATGTTTTTCACTTGGGTTTTCACAGCAGTTTCCAACACTGTTTTATTACTAAGAGCAGAGGATTCTGTGCTCTCCCACCCCCGCCAATCAGATGAAGTTGTAAAAGTACTGCCCTGGAAGGAGTGGCCGAGGTGGGAAGTTTGTAACCATCATGATACACATGGGTCTAGGAAAGAATCCTCAAGAAGCGTTACAGATCAAAGGGAAAATTTTATTGAGGAGCAAGTGTGTCTCTACTGATTGCTCATTAGTAAGAATTTTTCAGCATAATAAATAATATGCACACTTTATTCCTTTAAAAAAAAAATGACAGAATCATTTGGTGTCTTGACTTTTGAGCTGGTCACCAACGGAGATCTCTGGGAACTAGCCCAGATGTGTTACCCATTTTAAGCAGTGCCACAAAGTAAAAACAGCAGCCGGTGACAACTGAGCAGTTCTTTACAGATCTTGTGTTAAGTACTTACCTCACTTTAGGGCTCACAACAACCCCCAAACCATGACTTTCCTGAGAGTAAGAGTCGTGTTGTCTTGGTCACTGCCGAACTACCATCTCTTTCTTCTCTCTCTACCTGGGGTATACCATGTCTACGATACCTTTTGGTTGAATGAATGAAAACATGTAAGATACTTCTTAGTGCCATCTCACATTCCATCAGCCTCCCCTAACTATTGTTCCAGCTACTGCATAGACCAGCACCACAGTAGCCTCTGAGCACCTTCACACAGGCACAAAACACATGCCTTACCTGCACTCCATACTTTCTGCTCCTTGCCTTGGGGCTTCCTTTGGACACACAGGTGTGTGTGCCTTGAAACCCCACCATGTATGTGTGGTGTGGAAATGTGGGGCAATTACCTCAAGGGACACACCTTTAACCAATGGGAGACAGGAGTCGATGAATAAATAATTTCTGTTCTTTTCTCCAGTGGACTATTTGGATACAGAATTTATTTCACTTTTACAGGACAGTCATGATGGTCCCTTGGGATCAAACAATTAGCAGTGACCAACTCAGTAACCTACCTTACTATACCCTGTAACAGTCCCTCTCCCTGTCTTCCTGCTTCACTTCTTTGTCTCTCCATCCTGCTTTGTGGACTCACAATCACTAGTAAAGAAATAGCCTAGAAGTCCTCTATCTCAGGCCCGTCTTTTTGGAGAGCCCAGACTAAGATAAAGTAAGTGAATCTACCTTTGAATACTTTGTCTAAAAACATTATCCATATGAATTATTGTATACTAGGTCATCTTATTTTAATTACTAAATTCCAATCAAAAGAAATGAGGGATACCTTCTTCCAGAACCACGTAACCTGTCACCCTGGATACCGATGGTAGCTATTTATGTAAGTTGTGAGAGCATGGCCCTGAGGCACTAGGACCCCATTCTGACCCCTGTAAGTTTTATTTCTCTGCAAGAAGCAGGGCCCCTAAAGGACTCTCTGAGGACAGAAGGATGTGACATTGCTATGTCAGGGTCCATCTCAGAATGCATGAGACAAATGTTCACAGTAAATGGTGGTACAGCAATGCCTTCCAACTATGTCTGGAAAATTATACTAATCTCTGAAGTTCATCAATTCTACCAAAAAGCAGCAAACCTAAAAAGGAGCTGATAGCAGAATCAACTAGCACTAATAATAAAATAATAGATGTGATTTTTTTTTTCTCATATCTGTTGAACATTTACGGTCTGTCAGGCCAGGGTTTATTACTTTAGATCTTTACAAAAGCCCTTTAATAATATTACTTTTTTAAAAATGTTTTACTTATTTCTGAGAGAGAGAGAGGGAGAGAGAGAGTGCGCGTGAGCACGGGAGGGTCAGAGAGAGAGGGAGATACAGAATCTGGAACAGGCTCCAGGCTCTGAGCTAGCTGTCAGCACAGAGCCCAATGCGGGGCTTGAACCCACGAACCGTGTGATCATGACCTGAGCCGAAGTCAGACGCTTAACCAACTGAGACACCCAGGCGCCCCTAATATTACTTTTAACTTACAGGTATCTGGAAGGTTTAGCCATCATTAGACCTCACCCAGGTTCTCACTACTATATACAGTAGATGCCAGCCAACTTCCGGACTTCTTTTACACGAGAGAGGAATAAATCTCTCTCTCTCTCAGCCAGTGTTGTACTGATGATTTATTTTATAGGTAGCTGAGATTTATTATAAATGTTACATTTACCTAATTTACAACAGTTTTCTGGTACTACTTGTGGTTCAAGCCCCAGTGCAAAAACTAGGGAAATATACCTTAGTAGACATTCTCAAAAATTGTAGTCATAAAATACTCCTTCCATCATGCAGCAGAAGAAGGAAAATCAGCAATGATCTGATATAGGGAAAGTATATGACAGAAAAAAAATAAGTCCCACAAGAAGCTTTTCAGTGTTCCAAGACCTTTTATAGGTATAAGGACTGTATTTCCCCCATCCCAAAATTGATACAGAGTAAATTATAAATATTAATGTACCTACAGAGATTTTCAATAGGACTACAGGAGATAATGATATTTCACTCATTTATTCATTTAAAATAATTTATTAAGCCCCAGAAAGCTATAGAGATGAAATGGTGAGTGAGACAGGGCCTTAGAAGGCCAAGTCTGTGAAAGAGGCACCCAAAGAGACAGCCTCAGGGCTCCAGTGGAACTGAAGTGCAGTCCAGGGAGTCACAGAGGAGGGGTCCCATATAATGTTGAGAGAGGAAGAGAGGCTTCCTGGTGGGGGTGATGCCCGAGTGAGTCCTGAGAGTTGCGTAGGTGTTCCAGGAGGATAAATCTGGGTAACGGTTAGCAAGAAAGGCAGGGAGAGAGCCCGGGCACACCCGGAGAACATGGAGCAGCGTGGAGTGATAGGACACATGGGGAGGAGTGAGAAGAGACAAGGCCGCTGAAGTATAAAGGAGCCCGTCATGAAGGCCCAGCACCAACGTGTCTACATCACCTGGAAAGCTGTGCCAAGCATGGAATGCATTTAACCCTTCAGAACCATTGTAGTTTAGAAAGATGCTTTGCTCTGGCTCACCTCACCAATACTATGAATCAAGGAACTGGTGTGATTAATTTTTTGTAATTATAATTTGATAGGAACCTACAAGTGAGCCTTGTCCTTATTTGGGAAGGTAATTTGGCTTGGTGAGTGTTCCTGCTTGATTCTGTCCTTTTAGGTCATACCTGGTGGATCTTTGAAGTCCAAAAAAGAGATGCATACCATTCATTTAAGATACCAGTTCAAGCAGAAGCCAGGAGCAGGGACTGGAGGTAAGGCTCAAGATTCAAGACTAGGGTTCAGTGATAATGATATCAGCTAGATGGCTGCAGGGAGGCTGAGGACCAAACAGGTGCCTGTGCTCACCCTATATATGGTCCTTCTAAGGGAATTTTCTTCATATCAGAATATTCTCTGCAGACTCTAGAGGCTTTCTAGGGGATGGGACCTGGGTTGGCCCCTGATGGCTCCCAATATAATAAAGAAACCCCTGCACCTTTCTCTACCACCCTGCACATGCTTTGGCCAAAGGTGGTGATTTGCAATTCCATGCCTTGTTTTACGCAGTAAGGAGCAGGAAGCCAGGTGCCGGGCAGGGACTGAGCTTGCTTTGTTCATTGCCGTATACTCAGTATGCAGCACAGTACTGAGCACATGATAGGTACCCCAAAAATATCTGAAATAGTTGTGCCTTTGCATATAAACCAAAAACAGCAAATACATATCATGTTTACCATGTATTCTAAGCATCTTACAAATACTTTATTGTCAGAACAATGCTATAATGGAAGTACTATTATTATTCCCTTTTTACAGATGAGAAAAATTAAGAATAGAGATGTTAAGTACTTGCCTAAGGTCACACAGGTAGAGCATAAATTCTGCAAAAGGTACAAATTTCCAATTAGAAAATAAATAAGTACTAGGGATGTAATGTTCATGATGACTACAGTTAACACTCCTCTGTTAAAAGAAATTAATATTTGTTACATGAATGCTAGCATTTATGGTTCCTTTGAGACCCCAGTATTTTTTCAATTTGGGGTACTTGTAGGTTTTAGTTGTTAATTATGAGGCACTATTAACAGATAAAGATAAATGTGCTCATTTTCTAGATATAAATGGCAATCCAAATGCAATGCTGAAGGAAAGGAGCAACACATGAGTGGGAGAGAACCTGAAAACCCTCCCTCTGACCCCCATTAATCTTCAAGCCCAAACACCCAACCTTGGACTCTCTGGTAAGGCCCCCCCACCCTATTGCCCCCAGTCACCAAGGTCTCTGTCACATTACTCAGCTTTCTGCTCTTCAAACAAGCCAAGCACGCACCTTCTCAAGAACTTCACATATGCTCTTCCCTCTGCTGCAAATACTCTTCCCCCAAGTTTTCTCCCGGCTGGATAATTGCTCACCGTTCAGGTCTCAGCTTATGGGTCACTCCTTTTTGAGGCCATCCTCACATACCCAGTCTAAAGAACTACCTTCCAGTCCTTACCCCCATCCCATTAACCTGTGTTATTTTCTTCTAGCCCTTGCCAGTCATAGGAATACTCATTTTTGTTTGCTTCCTATTTCCTTATTTATTTCATCTTCCCACTTGGGAATATAAAACCCATGAGGTAGATCAGGGAGGTTGGCAGCATGAAGACAGAATGCAGTTCATATGTTTCCAGTGACAAATGATTCAATAAATTACCTATTTTTGCCAAGCACTGGCCATCGCTGAGTCAGATGGAGAAAGGACTCGAATCTCCATGTACCCGTCTCTCAGTGCCTGAATCATGCTGGATAAAATGCCCAAGCCCCAGAGATCCTGCGTCAAAGGCCCCCTGATGACACTCACTTGCCTGCAAGGGCCCCCTTGCCAGTCTGAGAAACCAAATACTTTGGGCATGAAGTAGATGACGGTAGAGAACTCAGACCAAGCGGAGGTTTCGCAGCACCGAGGGTGTTGGAAATCTGTGTGACCGCTGCTGAGGTTGCTGGGGAAACAGAGATGGTGCCGCCTCTAGATCCAGGAAGGATTTCCTGTCGTCGTTCCAGTTTTATATCCTAGGCTGTGGCGTAAGATTTCACTTGGGAAAAAAAATGTTTCTTTAGTTTAAAAAAGACATAGTTTGGAAACCATTCCTTTAAAGGATTTCTCCTCATTGTATGCAAATTAATAGTGCTGGAAGGAAAAACTTTTTTAGCAAAGGTCTTTCTCAACATTTAGAATAAAAGCTATAAATATTGTCCTTCTCAGGTAGAAATTTGAAACCTTCAGGGCCAAGCACCCCTCTTGCAGTCCCAGGGAGCTGAACGCATTCACCCCTCTGTCCACCCTTCTCTCCTTACCGGGTGGTGGGTAGCACTCATTGCCTGCTCCAGGCAAAACATGTTAGAAATGTAGAATGTTCAGACATGCCAGTGACCTTTACCTATACTTCATATAAGAAGGTGGGAAGAGAGGCCCCTGGGTGGCTCAGTCAGTTAAGCGTCTGACTTCAGTTCAGGTCATGATCTCATGGTTCATGGGTTTGAGCCCCGCGTCAGGCTCTGTGTTGACAGCTAGCTCAGAGCCTGTAGCCTGCTTCAGATTCTGTGTCTCTCTCTCTCTCTGACCCTCCCCTGCTCATGCTGTCTCTCTCTCTCTCTCTCTCCTAGAAATAAATAAAAATTTTTAAATAAATAAACACAAAAAATAATTTTAAAAAAATTAAAAAAAAAAAAAAAAGGTGGGAAGAGAGTGGGGCACCTGGTGGCTCAGTCGGTTAAGCATCCAGCTTCAGCTCAGGTCATCATCTCATGGTTCATGAGTTCGAGCCCCACACGGGGCTCACTGCTGTCAGCCGGTCAGTACAAAGCCTGCTTTGGATCCTCGGTCCCCCTCTGTCTGCCCCTCCCCTGCTTGTACTAACCCCAAAATAAATATTAAAAAGAAAAGGTAGGAAGAGAAAGCAGGAAAATAATTGCCCTATAAATAACTCAGTCGATGGGCATCCTACACCCAAACCCTGCCAAGCACCCACACCTCTTAGGGGTAAGGTAATGACAGGCTGGCTAGCAGCTAATGGTGCACATCAGCATCTCAGAAGCTTTGGCAAAAGTCTGCTCACAGCCATTGGGCTGATTGGGAATGTTTAGCTGACAATAAATGTCTTCCTCTCACTTGTAAAGTGCTACTTTGCCTGCTGCCTGGGGGGGTGGGGGGGCTGTGGAGAGTAGTGAAGATTTTGCAGCAGTGCTTCCCAGCCACACAGGCCTGGAAGCACAGAGCAGCCACCCCCACCTCTGCACTGTGACTGCCACCTCGCTGCTGCTAGGCAAGAGGTAATTAGGAGCACTGGAACATGGCCAGGATTTGACAGAATGAAGAGCAGGCATCAAAACACAGGGCATTGGCTCCAGCATTTGAGCTGTGACTGTGGGGTAAGTTTCACGGTCACGGTACATTTAGAAGGACCTCAGGGGTCAGGACACACTGCCTGTGACCCAGCTCTCACTACTCAATTTCCATGCCACTTTTATGCCACCCTTCCTACATACCAGCTTCTTGCTGGGGCAGCAACACAAAGGTGTTAGGTGACATTAGAGTCCTGTAAGTGTACAGGTGGTGACTATTCACCACCCTCAAGCTGGAAGGTGACAGTCACAACTATATTTAGGGATGGAGATTAGCACAGGCTTTGGTGGGTACTGCAAGTACTGCCACAGGAGTTCTTTGCATTGCACAGGGAGCCTATTAGCAAAGTCAAACTTCCTCCCGGCCAACTGGCAACACAATCACTTTGAACTTCAGCCAGGGAGAGAACAACCTCTGATGGTTAAAGAGCCACACCCTTGTGTTTGGCCGGAAGATTGACTGAATCCAACACCCTAGGCGTCTGTGTCTTTTGCTGGGAGTCAGTTACTAAACTCTCATCATAGATGTCCATCCACAGCCCTAGTCCCAAAGCTGAAGGGCTGCCCCTGGGTGTGGGTAGGGACTGGTCCCTCAGGTGGCAGGTTTTAAGTGGAGTATCTGCCACTCGCAGGAGCAGGGCAGGCATCCCAGTTCACAAGAGGTGTCAAGAGACCATGTGACCCAGGTCTTGGTTCAGAAATGGCCTAAAATTTCAAATTTTGAAATTATCTGCAAAAGAAATTATATACACAGTCACCAAGACTCCCTGATGGGGGAGTGAAGGAAAATGATATTTTTAAAATAATACTTGAAATTAGCTGCTTCTTACCAGATGACGCTACTTGGAGTCCAATGAATAACAATAATGACAGACACTCATGTAGTGTATACTGTTCCAAGAGTCCAGGAGCTCTTCTGAGGCTTGTATTTAACCGTCAGAAATACCCTATGAGGATGTATTACTATGCCCATTTTTATAGATTAGAAACTGAGTTCAGAAAGACCAAATAGCATGCCCAAAGTCACACAGCTCATAAGATCACACAGCTAATTAAGTATTGGGTCAGGATTTGAACTCAAGCTGCCTGGACTCCAGAGTCCCTATGCTTACCTACCGCACTATGAAGTCATTATTCTTAAAAAAGAAATTTTACAGGTTAAAGTAGTCACCTCTTAGCATGGAAACACTTGACAAATCACCATTTTCTGATGTCCCAGGAGTCTCGAAAAATGGAAGGGCCTCGGATCAGTCTAGCACAGCTAGTCTCCTTCATGAGGTATGCTTCTACTCTAGAGAATGGTAATTCACATTCTGGATGAGGATGTTGGAGACCCCATGCCTGGGCCTCCCTCTATGCTACAGAGTCAACAGAATCATCCTTGGTTTGGCCATGTCCACTTCTCAACTCAAGGCTCTCAAACTAAGAATCAAGAGAGCTTCTCTATATCTAATAGCTGGTGATGCCAAGACACCCCCCCCCCCGCCCCCAACGGCTCTCATTTTGCCCTAGCCCTTCCAACAGAGTGGTAACATCAGGGGGCAGTGTCAGGCACCCAGACAAGGTGCTGGGAGGTGTAGCCTACTGTGAGCTCTAAACGACCTACAAAAGGAAAAGGTAGTTCTTCAAAGCTGTCAGTTGAGTTGGGATATCTAGTACTGGCTCTACAGAACAGGTTCAAGCAGGTGATAGGGAAAATAACAAAGTTCGTTTCTCCTTGTACTCTCCAAAGTTCTGCTCTTACGATGTATGTTTACCTAGTTTCTTCAGGAATTCTCAATATTTTGCTAGCCCAGCAGGTTGGAAGATGTCGTCAGCACAGTGACTACCTGAGCTCACATGCCACTCCTGTACTTACAAGTTTGTATAAAATTAGGCAGGATGTTTATCTTCTGTGTGTCTTGATTCACTTATCAGCAAAATGTGGATAATCTTAGGATCAACCTCATGAAGCTCTTATGAAGACTCAATAGCTTCAAGAGCTTAGAACAGGGTCTGGCATATAGTAAGTGTCCATCATTGATAGCCAATATCATCCTAATCATCAGAGACCTTGAAATTAATCAGTTTTGCTCATTAACCACTAAAGAAAAAGAGAAACAGGTTAGTAAGCATATGGAATCTTGCTCCAGTTAGAACAAGGTTGATGCCACTAGGAATGAGTTCTTTCCAAGGGGCAGCAACATGTTTTCCAGATTCTCCCTCAGGGACCCAGTTCGATGCTTGATCATAGTCATTGCTAAGAAAGGCTTCTTGAGTAAATGAATGAATGAGTGAACAGATGAATGCCTCCTCTTGCCTATGCTCTGGCCACCTTGATCTGACTGCCTCGGGGCCAGGTAAGTGGTAAGAATCTTCCACCTTTCCTTACCCTCAAGCAGGGAGCCTCCTGAATCTTCTGGGCCTCTTCAGAAACTCTTCCCAGCATGATTTCCCCACTCTCATGACTAAGAAGAGACTGATTGTCCTAAGCAGTGAATGTCAAACTTCAGTGGGCATCAGAATCACCTAGAGTACTTTATAGAACACAGATTGCTGGGCCCACCCCAAAGTTTTTTATTTACTAAGTCTGGGCCAAGAATTTGCATTTCTAATAATTTCCAGGTGATGCTGATATTGCTGGTTCTGGAACCACACCTTAAGAAACATTGTTCTAAAGCATGGATTTAATTATGTTGCCCACTGCTTAAAAATCTCAGAGAGTTTCCTTAAAATGTCCATGGACTAAAGCCTACTAAATAAAGTCCACACTCCTTAGTCATGGGCCTTTCCAACTTATCCCCAATCCAACTTTCTGGCCTCATCTCCTGCCACTCCCCTCCATGCTCTAGCACACTGAGCTACTCTGTATTTCATGAACACTCCAATGGCCCTACCTCTGCACTGTTCCCACTGCCTGGAATGCCTTTCTCTCCTTTGCTGACAAAGTCCTCCTTGAAGACCTGATCCAAATGATAGCCTCTGTGTCACCAACTCTCCATCCCTCCAGGCATACTGTGTGTCCATAGGCCATTGTACATGGCCCTACTATTGCTCTTGAGCATTGTCTTTTAGGTCTGTTATGTTATTGATTATGTTACTGAACTGTCATCGCCCTTCTAGCCATGACAATGTACTCTTTCTATTTGATGCCCCAAGCCCAGCACAGTGCTTGCCAAAAGGGCCAGTTTAGTATTTATTCACATATGATGAATAAGTGAATTCCAGATTGCAATTTCCCCAGTTGATATTTGTAGCCCGATCCACAGATGTTTAATGTATTAATCAGCTGTTGAAGTAGTAATGCTGCATAGCAGACACATTCTCCTTCCCCCCCCCACCCTGCCTTAAAAAAAAAATTATTTCCTTTTCTTGCTTAACTAGGGCAGCTCTACTTCAGGCAGCAATTTGGCTGGGGTGGGCTACAGGCTGCAAGTTGGGTTCAGATTTTCTCTACATGTCTCCTTATTTTGGGACCAGGACTGATATGGACATGTTCTTCTCCTAGTAGATCATAAGACATAAGAGGTCAAGCCAAACCATGCAAGCACATTAATAGACTCTAGTCATGTCATGTCTGCTAACATTACATTGGCCAAAACAAGTCACATAGCCCAAACCAACATCAATAGTGGGAGATGTACTCTACTATCCACACTGTCAACAAAGCCAATGGCAAGATGTGTAGACTTACAATTCTATAACAGGGAGCCAAATGGGAATTGGGAAAGAAAAATCAAGAATAATAATCCAACCTACCAAATGTACCTTTTCCCATTTGGGGCTCTTAACAATCTGTTTATTCTGTTCAGCTGATACTACAGCATCTCAGATACCAGGTAAATCTCTGTTGCTAACACTGGACATCAAGAAGAGTATCTCTGGAGCTCAGCTTCTGCATCTGCAAGATGGACCAAGCCAAGCAATGGCCCAGAAAAACACAGGTATTTGCCCCTATGATAATAAATGAAAAAATCACATCCCATATATTTCCATTACCTTTAGGAAAACAATTGTCACTACTTATACTAAATTGTTTTGGGTTGGGGATTTTGAGTTTGTTTTTTTTTTAATTTGTGTTTATACTGCATTGTGTTTAAGATGTGGCTAATTATTTTGAAATCTCACTTGAACTTTAGCCATGCCTTCAGTTGTTCAAGTACTTAAGAAGTCATCTAAAATAGTAGATTATCCAAAATAATGTGCCGTGGTATGGCTTAAGAGTTATTCTAGGTGGTCTGATGATTTACAGATTGCGGTGTGGTCAGGCCCAGCTGGAAGTGTCCATTAGGATGGCAGAGAGAATTAAGAAATCAGAGGTCTCAGATAAGCATGTGTTCTTGTCCCTGGGCCACAACGGGGAAACTGTCCTATTACAGTACTATATATAGCAGTTATGTCCTTTTCTACAGAGTACTGGAGATTTAATCTGGGCAGAGGGCACTGTTACATACTCTCTAATGGCCAGGGCAGACCCACTGACTTCGTAGGGTGGTAACTGGAGCCAGTGAACTTATTCTTGCCTCACTGCTTCATCCGTGAAATTTTATTTGCTATAGATCTGGGTCTGGCAATTCCAGAAGAGCTGGACTCAGCCACTGAATTTTTTAAATTATCGTTTGCAAAGTCATTATATTCATCAGTGGAAACCCCCATAGCTAGAGAAATACCACTCCAGCCTATTGTATTAGAAAATATAATTTCCATATTACTTTAATAAAATGTTACAGGCCATGACGTTTCCCTTTATCAGTCCAATTTTTCTATTCCTATTAGTAATTTCCTTGAATCAGAGGCCTCATTCACTATGATTTTACTTAACGCTTAATCCAAAAGCTGACAAGCAGCCCTGCCTAAACAGGCAGAATAGGGCCAGTGGAAGGGAGCCCTCAAAAAGACAGTTCCCACTGAAATGGGAGAAAAGGCAGCAAGCCTCCCCCTCAACATATTTTCTACTGCTAAGAATCACGTTACATGATTGGTCTTCTACAGGGCAATGACCTCTAAAAGTTTGCCATGCCCCTTCTCTCTGAGATCTTCAGAGACATGTAGCAGCACGTAGCACACCTCCAGTCAGTGAACCTTGCCTCTCCCCACTACACAGCCTCCCACCTGCTTTTGAAAGCCAGCCAAGAAATCATCCAGTATCTACACAGATTGCCAAAGAACAGAGGCAGATTCTATGTGAGAGCAGACAGCACAGTCCAAAGGATTCCAGAGGTAGGAAGCAGGGGTTGTGGCCCTACCACTGACTATATGGTGGCCCCGGGCAGGCACCTTTATCCTGCTGCACCTCAGTCCCCTTTCTGATCTCCTCCTCAAAGTCAGTTTTCTTGCATTCTACTCTGTGTGAGCCCATTATTTGACTCTTTCATGATTTAGCATAATTTGTAACTTTTTTCTTTTTACTTGCTCTTAGTCTGTACTGTCCACTAGAATATAAATTCTTTTTGGCCGTCTGAACCCCCATTGTATACCTGCCACCATGCACGTTTTCAGCACTCAATAAACAGTCATTTAATGAATGAATTATGTCCAGTGATCTGATTCTAATATTCCATAGCTTTTCATTCAGGCAAATCAAAAATAAAAATTGACAATTATATGGAAGAAAAAATAGCTCCTTCTGTAGTTCGCAGGGAAGAAATGGGTAGATGGATGATTAAGTGGAAAATCCCCTTATAATGTCTTTTCTAAACTCACAGAGGATAATTCATTGTTTTATATATTTGTGTTTTTATTTTTTTTTAATGTTTTTTTTTTGAGAGAAAGAGAGAGCTAGAACACAAGAGGGGAGGAGCAGAGAGAGAGGGAGACACGGAATCTCAAGCAGGCTCCAGGCTCCGAGCTGTCAACACAGAACCCAACGCGGGGCTCAAGCTCATGAACCGCGAGATCACTAAGCCAAAGTCAGACACTTAACTGACTGAGCCACCCAGGCGCCCCTATATTTGAGGTGTTTTAAATACTCTGGGTAATTATTGTGAGCATAGAAATTGGAAAGTCTTTCTTATCTTTTGGGCACTTTCTTGTCTTTCTATTATCTCTTACCCGATATGTAACAATTTTAATGAACTTTTAGGTATATGGTCTAGCTTACTAACCAAGTCTAGAGTAGTTTTTCCACTTTCATTTTGTTCAGAATTTTTGCACAATTTCTGCCCACTCTGTCAACCCCAGAGATTTTCAGATCAAATGAAACCTGAAAGTGCAAAAAAGAATATCCCTACAGACTGGAATAGTTTAGTTTTCCTTGTGTTAGCAGAAACCACCTGGGCAAAGCCATTATAATTGATTGCCATTAGCCTGGTTTTCAATATAATATCTAATTGAGATGGGCTGGTGGTTGGTCAGTGGTCCTGGTGTCCATCCTTACACCACTGAATAGCCCTTTGGTTGGCATCGTACTGAGCCATCCCAAGCTAATGGACAGACCGCAAATAACTGCAGTTTTCCTCCACTCCTACACTTTTATCTCTTCTATTATTTGGTGACTTTGGCCAGAGTTTTTACCTGCTCTTTGCTTATTTGCTTTCCGAATAGATAAGATGATGTATATAGCACTTGCTATTTGTCGTTGCTCCTGACACAACAGTAGAGAGCCCAGCCTCCTTGAAATACCTCCTCCAGAAACATAAATTTGATCCTCTGCACCATCTTCCAGATAACTTAGGACCAGAGCAAACACATCCACACACTATCAGATGTTTATGGCAAAAGTTACAGTCAATCCTTGTGGTTTTGTTTAGAGCTTCACCCTATGTGGTCAAACTGCCATGTTTCCAGGCTTATTTCCCATCTTCCTTTACTGTCATCAGAGCCAACTTTGCCTTGTTCCTCATGCAAGCTTTGTCCTTTCTTGAATCCTTGCCTCCTGAATGTTCATCCCTTAAAGCATTTTGAAGTCCAGGGCCATGAAGTTTTCGTAGGGCTGCAAGAAACCAGGTGAGCAACCTGGCCCCCGACTTCAGCTGAGGCCTTGTTATGGAGTGAACATTGGTGTCCCCCCAAATTCCTATGTTGAAATCCTAACCCCTAATGTGAATGGTATTAGGAGGTGGGGCCTTTGGGAGATAATTAGAGAGTATTATCTCTCTAATTATTATTATATCATGATATAATATTATCTCATGATAATTAGTTCATGAGAGTAGAGCCCTCCTGAATGGGATTAGTGCCTTCATAAGAAGACATGAGAGATTCTTGCTCCCCATTTGCAGACACAGCAAGATGGTCATCTCCAAACCAGGAAACAGGCCTTCACCAGACACCAGATCTGCCAGCACTTTGATCTGGGACTTCCCAGCCTCCAGAACTGTGAGAAATAAGTGTTCATTGTTTAAGCCACCCAATCTGCAGTATTTGTTGGAGCAGCCCAAACTAAGACAAGGCTGCTTAGGGTGCTAGTGGAGCCTGCGTTGGTGTGAGAATGGATGAGTAAATGCAGCCAAGCTCCCTTCCCACCAGAAACCCCGGCATCCATGCCTGCTCATCCCATAGAGCCTCTGCCAGGCCTTCATGGAACCAAATGAAGGGCAGCTTTGCTCCAGGCCAAGTGGTAGGCAACGGGCCAGGCCCAGCTACCTTGAAGCAATTAGATCACAGAGAGGCCCTGCCCAAGTCTGTGCCCCATCCCAGACCCTTTGCCAGGGCAGACTTTTGTGGGGGCGTGTTGGCCCAGAGCCTAGCATAGCTTTCGCATGTGGCTCTCCTTGTAGGAATCAACAATCACCAACCTCTTGGGTCTGTGGATGGAGACACTAAGAAGCTCTGCTCTCAACCTGCCGAGACAGTCATAGCAAAGACTCACACAATTTCTAACTCTTGCAGGAATCCAGACAGATGGGGCTGATGACTATGTAAGAGGGGAAGGTGGTGCTTTAGCTTTGTCAGTGCTGGAGGAAGGGCAGAGCTTAACCCAGGACAAGGGTCAGTTCTCCTCTAAGTCCCCCACTGCCTCATCAAATAAGCATGAACTGTCCTCAAGGCAACTCCTCCTTTAGGCAGAGAGACAGAACTGACCTGGGTTCTGCTCATTCTCCTCTCCTCGATTTCCTGGTGCCTTTGTGGATCCTCAGGACAATGTCCAGCCCCAGCCCCCTGTTCCTCAAAGCCAAAGGGAAGGCAGCATCCCAAAACCTGGGCTTGGGACTGAAACCACTCGGGCTGCCCAAGGGAGAAATTTGCAAATGGCCAGGCCTGAGAAATCAGATGACTTAAAAAGGACTCCAAGGAGACAGGCCATCGACTTAGAGATTTACCTGTGCTTACCAGCAGAAAAACAGAGGCTCCATAACCACAAACAGGTCAAAAGAAAGCAGAAACCTATAGGACAATGAGAGTCAGACATGGAGCAGACAGAGATAGGCTGGCCCAAGTGGATAGAGTGGGTGGTTCATGGCAAACCCTACAGAGGCCCAACATCTCTGTTGTGAAATTCTGGAATGCTTCCATTGGCTCAGGTCAGGGTCCTAAAGGGACGGCTTCTCTGGACAAAATGAGAGCCACTCTTGAGAAAACAACATTCAACTTTGAAAACTGATTAAGGATCACTGTTTACTGGGAGCTATGCCAGGACTTGGGAACTGCTGCAAATAAGACTGACCTATCCCTGTCCTCATAGCTTGCACATAGCAGAAAACACAGACATGGTGCTAGTGGTTACAGGTGCAGTGGGCCCTGCAAGGAAGTCCAGTTAGCAAAGAAAATAGCATTTTTTAGCATTTCTCCACTCAATTCCTTAATGCAGAAATTTTGAAAATCGGTGTCAGAATTATCCAGCCCCAGTCTCATGAGAGGTTAAAAAAAGAGTTATTTTGGACGCCTTGGTTAAGTGCCCAATTTCTGCTTAGGTCACGATCTCATGGTTTGTGAGTTCGAGCCTGCATCCAGCTCTGCTGATAGCACAGAGCCTTCTTCAGATCCTCTGTCTCCCTCTCTCTAC